CAGTGTTTCAAATCATAAGGTTTCCTGTTTCACAATTCTACAGTTGGTAAGTTTTGGTAATCTACCAAAGCAGTGATTTTCAGTGAGACACGCTGGCAAACTATTGCCTCTGAAATATCAGAGTAAGTGGAGTGTTGATCATTATATTTGTTCCATAGTCTTTGGTACCTTCTTAAAATCTCCTTTTCCCTGCTCTGTTATTTTTTCTTTGGATAATGATGTTCTCTCATCTCCTAAGTGCCCATGCATTTATCTTTCTTTTGTCCCTTAACCTCTCTCCCAAAGGAGATCTGTTTCTCTCATAACTGTTAGCTAATCTGAATTATCTAAGTTAATTCAGAATAAATTGTGGAATGACTGATAGACCTAATCCCAAAGTAGATTAGGATGCAGAGAAAAGGGAACACTTATATGCTGTTGGTGGGAATATAAATTAGTACAAACTCTGTGGAAGACAATATGGAGATTTCTCAGAGAACTAGAAGAACTACCACTTGATTCAGCAATCCCAATACTGAGTATGTACCCAAAGGAAAATAAGTCATTATATCAAAAAGATACCTGCACTCATTATGTTTATTGCAGCAATATTGACAAGAGCAAAGATACGGAATCAACCTACGCATCCATCATGGATGACTAAAGAAAATGTGGTACTGTACACACACACACACACACACACACACACACACACACACACACGAATACCGTGCAGCTTAAGAAAGAATGCAGTCATGTCTTTGCAGCAACATAGCTGGAACTGGAGGTCATTATCTTAAGTGAAAGAACTTAGAAAGTCAAATACTCCATGTTCTCATTTATAAGTGCTAAATAACACGTGGACGTAGAATGTGGAACAATAGTCACTGAAGACTGGAAAGCGTGGGAGGGTGACCTATGATAAATTACATAATGGATACAATGTACATTCCTTGGGTGATGGTTACACAAGAAGGCCCGGCTTAGCCATTACACAATATATCCATGTAACAAAACTGCACTTGGACCCCTTAAATTTATGCAAATAAAAATAAAACAGTAAACAACAGGAAAGTATGTGTATTTCAAAGTGAAGCTTGTAAAACTACAAAGTCCTGTTCACCTAAAGAATTAGCAAAGTGTTTTAATATATGTAGATTGCTTTCTTGTTTACCTTGTTACTTCACATTTTTTTCTTTCTTTCTTTCTTTTTTTTTTTTGGACTCCCAGTATCTGAGAACATATTTCTTCCCTAGAGGAGTTGAGAAGAGGAGGAAGAAAAATGGGAGGAGACAGGATCTTTGTCAACTTGACAAATAGGTGTAGCTACTTCTTGTGTTTTTCCTCTCCAGGTCCTCAGCAGTCTCGTTACTTTTTTTGTTTGTTTAAGTACTCTCTGATGAATGTCATAGGCCTCTTAGTTGCAGTTTCCCATCTCCCAGCTTGTTCTAAGATAAATACTTCCAATTTATATGTTAAGTTACATATTCATTTATGAAACTTATTTTACCTTGTTTTTCAGAACTGTAACAAGTTTTATTGACATGATACATTTTTTTCACCAAGGAGGAAAGGTCACCAGTGATGTGTCCCACTTGTTGAAAATGCCTCTAATGATACTGTGCTCTATTTATTGATCATATATGCCAGACACTGCACTGGGCACTTAATATATTACCCATTTCTTACAACAACCCTTATGTAAGGTAGATGTTTACATTTCACTTTTGGAGAGATTAGGTAGTTTGTCTAAGCTTGTGTTACTTGTAAATGGTGGAGCATATTTTAAAGCCCTTCTGCTTCTGTTTATACAATGTTTTCTTCTACTTTTCAAAAGCACCTTTAATGATTTGGTGCCTATACCTAAAGTACTTTTTAGAGAGGGTAAGCAGCATGTTGATTCTACATTTTTTTTGTATATCTGCGTACTTCTAAAAGTGTTTTATTTTCCATCTGCTCCACTTTAAGCACTTGTTAAATGTAACTCATTAATTTTTTTCAAGGATGGTACCGTAATTAATGTAGCATCTCGCGTAGTTGAAAGTAGCAGATACTTTAAAAATATTTGCTTCCTCAATTCAAAACAATAACAAAAAGAGAGGTGGCAGTTGATGGAGGGAGACTATTCACATAAAAATTCATTTCTGTTGGAATGTGAGGCTGGAACCTTTCTCATATTACAGCATGCTTCAGGGCAGGGCTAGAGTCCAAGCTGTGATTAAAATCACCCAAACTCTTTTTTCTTTGCTTTACAACCACAAGTTATTGCCAGCTGAAAAGGATAATGGAGGGTAATGATGAATGTGTTTCCATCTGCTGCTGCTGCAAAAACATTTTTTAGTTTCATTCTTTTTAAACCTAGATAAAAAGGCTGCTTTGAAATGAAGAGTAAATTAGTGGCTACCAAATGAGTAGTTATTAGATTGCTGCCCTAGAAGCCTGTCAGGTGATGCTGATGGTGGTTGCTGCCAGTTAACAGTTTGGTCTCAAATAGTTTCTCCCCAGGGGTGGGGAATGTGGGAATGTGGGGGTGTGGGGGTGGTATAAGCATTCAAGCATTCTTGAGACTCTTTCCTTTTCATTCCCAACTGGAGGTTTTAGACATGGGTGTTACTTTCCCAGAAACTGCCTAGATTTTCATAGGTTGTCAAGGTCAAATATATTGATTTAGCCATTTCATAATGTATACTTATATGGAAACATATTGTATGTCATAAATATATACAGTTTATATTGTCAATTAGTAAATATTTAAAAAGGAAGTCAAATGAAAACAGAACTTTAATAATTTTCTGCAGTAGATACTTTTTTACTTGCTGGAACCTGAGAGAACCAAGCCATTTGGAATAGCTTGTATCCCCTTTTTTTTTCTTTTGTTTTTGAGATGGAGCCTCATTCTGACACCTAGGCTGGAGTGCAGTTGTGGGATCTCAGCTCACTGCAACCTCTGCCTCCAGGTTCAAGCGATTCTGATGCCTCAGCCTCCTGAGTAGCTGGGATTACAGGTGCCCACCACCACATCTGGCTAATTATTTTGTGCATTTGGTAGAGATGGAGTTTCACCATGTTGGCCAGGCTGGTCTCAAACTCCTGGCCTCAAGCCATCTGCAGGCCTTAGCCTCCCAAAGTGCTGGGATTGTAGGCATGAGCCACCACTGTGCCCAGCTAAATAACCTGTATCTCTAATACATTGTTATCCCAGCCTCCTCACCCCCTCAGTGGTTAAACTATGTGCAGTCATACTGAATTGCTGTGCTTATCAAATAGTTGATTTGTTTGTTTGTTTGTTTTTGAGACTGGGTCTTGGTCTGTCGCCCAGGCTGGAGTGAAGTGGTGAGATCGTAGCCCACTATAGCCTTAACTTCCTGGGCTTAGGCAATCCTCCTGCCTTCCCCTCTCAAGTAGCTGGGACTGTAGGTGTGTGTCACCACACATGACTAATTTAAAAATTGTTTTGTAGAGACAGAGGTCTTGTTTCATTGCCTACATCAGTCTCAAACTCCTGGGCTCAAGCTGTCCTCCTGCCTTGGCCTCCCAAAGTGTCGAGATTACAGGCTTGAGCCACCATGCCCAGGCTGGGTTTTTCTTCCTACTGTGGTTGATTATTCCTCATGGTTGCCCCTCAAGATCACTTCAGCAGTGGTATATTATAGAAATACTCCATTAGTCCTTTAAGACCATAACCTGATTATTAGTAATTAGAGCTCTGGGCTCAATTGCACATAGTAGTCTCCTATACTTTAATACTTTGTTGTTGTTGTTTGAGACAGGGTCTTACTCTGTCACCTGGGCTGGAGTTGAGTGGCATAATTACTGCTCATTGCAGCCTCAACCTCTTGGGCTCAAGTGATCCTCCCACCTCAGCCTCCTGAGTAGCTTGGACTACAGGTGTGTGCCACCATGCTCAGCTAATTTTTTTTTAACTTCTTATAGAGATGGGAGTTCTACTATGTTGCACAGGCTGGTCTCAGACTCCTGGCTCAACTGAGCCAGCCTCATTTGGAAGGCCTCAGCCTCCTAAAGTGCTGGTATTATAGGCGTGAGCCACTGTACCTGGCCTATACTTTTAAGAATTCTTTTAATGATTTGTGATTGTTTGGTTTGGCCTTTAGGTTATTATATCTGCTGAATGCTGTGTGATGGATATTGAGATTATCCACTCTAATTAGGGAGCTACTAACTAAAATATAATATCTTTAACCATTGAGTTTGGACAATCTGACTTCAGAGTTTTAGCTCTTAACCCCTTTACTACAAAGCTGATGCCTCTGTTTTATAAATAATACAGCCCCTATTTAAGATTTCTGCGTATAACGTTCCCCCATGTCATTTTCTATTAGGTTATGTGCGTATATGCAAGGTTTTCCATTTCTGTTCTAATAAAACTTTCATCTTTACTTTTAGTGGTTGCCAGTTGGTTTCTTGCAAGGCATTTTCTGCTTTCAGCATTTTCATTTCAGGTAAAAGGATTGTGTTACCTTGATGACTTTTTGGCATATATGCTCTAAAGTTAGTCCTCTGTACCGGTAGAGACAAATAAAGCATGTACAGTATTTCTTTTGGATTATATTATAATTTGGGGAACAAATTTGCCATTTGAAGTTTGTCTTAGATACATAATTTTTATTCTGTAAATTTACAGATGGTGGAATTCTGGAAACATCCTGTGTTGAAGAGAAAAATTCCACTCAGAATTTAAAATTGGCCTTGGAGAGTTATAAAAAGGGGTAGGGGAATGGATCATCCATATGTGGGTTATTGAATTAAATGTTTCACATTTTTTTGTTCTTAGAGTCAACTTTTATAACACTGTTACTGGGAATACTTGACTTACTCAGCTTTTACTGAACACTTTAATTTTGGGAGTACAGTTTCTAAACTCATGAAATAATCTTCATGCAACAAGATGTTATTTTATCAAATTTTGACTACATGTTCATTCTTAACTTTGACAGATTTTCATGAACAGAGGTGAGTTATATATCTTTAAGTTTATATAATTAATAATCATCTTTTATTTCTAGAACTGGGTTCAGGGGCAGTTAGTTATCTAATAAAGCAGCAACTGAGTTTTATATGCATTGTTAATTTTGGCATTTTGGTGTGGAAGGGGCATTTGTGTTAGATTTAACTTTTTCTTGTGAAAATCTAAACATATTTAAGCATGGTTTAGGAATAATAAACTTGAGGTACTACATATAATTTGATTTAGAAGCTTTTTAATCCTGAATAAGGAAGGAATACATAGAAAGTCAAGGAAAAATTCTGTGTAATGGTTGTGATATTCAAGATGAAAACAGTGTGATCCAGCAGCTTAAAACAATGACCTCCTCACTAGTTGAGCATACATCAGTGTCATGAAATGAAGAGAATGGGAAGAGGTGTCTGTGCATCTTTGTTTTAGGACTGTATTGCGTGTTAACTCAAATACTAGACTAAAAGGTTTGTGTTATTATTCCTTTTACAAAGATGAGGAAACTGAAATTTTAGAAGTTGGTTACTTGTCTGTGGTTAGAAGAAGTACATGCAGAATTGTGATTTGAGCCCAGAATGTCTGACTCTAAGACCTAAATTCTTTCTACCGTATCATATACTTCTTGTTATCTTTTGTTTGATTTTTTATTCCATTTCCCCCACTTTGAACTGTGTTGAAAGTTTTCTGTTCTATTTCTTTTTTTCTCTCTGGTTGCCACAGAAATGTTAATATGCATACTTAACAAAGTCTAAATGTAAATGCAATTTTTATCCTTATCCTGAACCTCCTTCTGACAAGAACTATTTTTTATCAGATATTATAGTTTTGGGATTTGATCTTTCAGCCCCAGAAATAACACAGTGTTTAGATAGACCCATATGCATTTAACCTTTTTTTCCTAACCATTCCTTCATGTGTGTTGGTTGTAAGATGAATTGTTTTTTAATTTACCCCCTCAGGAACTTTATGTGAGAGGGTCTTTGCTCAGGCTCTCATTTTGTGTAGGCCCTCAAGTTTTGCTGCCTCTTACCCTGTTTTCTGTAGCTCCCTCCCCATCAGGTTCATTCCACCTGGGCTGTATAGATTCCCCAGGGGCACTAACTCACCTCTCTAGACTTGTACTTTTAAAAACATTGTTTCTGCCCTTGGAACATTTCTCTTACTTTATTGTTGGCTCTTCCATACATTAAAAAAATTTTTTTAAGCACTTAATACAACATTTTTTAGGTGGTCTCCAGCGATGGGGCTTCATTGCCAAAAATAAAAGTCCAGATTGTCATTGTGCTTGATGGGAGTATTTTGTATTGAACCTGTGGAGTGGGGGAATGGGGAGAGGATTTTTAAAAAATGTATTTTAAAATAAATTCCTAGTAACTGATAAAACTCATTCATTTGGAGTCATAAGAAATAAACTGTTTGATGAAGAAGCAAAAGATGACTTCCAAAAGCACTTTGGAAAACGCCCCTTACTGAAAGTTTATACTGACTACCCTCTTGAGGAAGAATATAATTTAAGAACAGATTTTTAATGTGACATTAAGTATTGTCTTCCCTTGCCCTTGTACCTTTTTCTAAGATAAAGAAGAACCAAGGATTACTTGCTCTGTACATGAGGTGCCATGTTGTGAAGTTTAGGTTGCGGATGCTCTATGAAAATTTATAACATTAACGCTGAAAATACCATGAAAGTGCCAAAACCTATTTGTTTTGGAATTTTACAAAATTTATTCTTAGGACTTAGCTTATTAACCGGTATCAGGAGTTTCAAAGAGATAGTAACCTTACTTCATCAGCTCTCTTTGAATGGAGTTTTTTTTTTTTTTTTTTGAGACGGAGTTTCGCTCTTGTTACCCAGGCTGGAGTGTAATGGCGCGATCTCGGCTCACCGCAACCTCCGCCTCCTGGGTTCAGGCAATTCTCCTGCCTCAGCCTCCTGAGTAGCTGAGATTACAGGCACGTGCCACCATGCCCAGCTAATTTTTGTATTTTTAGTAGAGACGGGGTTTCACCATGTTGACCAGAATGGTCTCGATCTCTTGACCTCGTGATCCACCCGCCTTGGCCTCCCAAAGTGCTGGGATTACAGGCGTAAGCCATAGTGCCCAGCCAAGAAATAGAAAATAACTTTAGAGCAGTATTTTCTATATTCTTTATTTTTAAAATATGCTCTTATATGAATACCCACATAGGATATATGTGTTTTGCTTTGCTTACCTGATAAACACTGTTAAAAATAATGTTTTAGTTGAAAAGATGCTTAACCCACATTTTTTAATGGGTTAAGTTTAATGTTTTGAGGGTTTTTTTTTTAAGCAGGTGTTATTGATTTAGTGTTTTTGGAAATAATTTTGTTAGCACTGATAGAAACGATGAGGATTTGAAAGGAAACAATTGTTGCTTTGTGAGTGGTGATGTTCAGTAATGACTAAGTACATTCATTTGCACAGCCAGTATAAACTCCAGATGTTTTCCCTGCCTGTTTCTTAAGTGGGTCATGTGATTGGGTGTTTATCATTGACTTGAATATCTTCAAGTTTTACAAACCACATAAGTTGACCATGAAATCAAGGAGCTCTTTCAAAGAACACTTTGAAAGTAGATTTTATTTTTATTTTTGGGGTCATTTCAATGAAAAGAAGATTGTACAGTTTGTGTCTGGATTTTGGAACTTTTTCCCCTTCTTTTCCTTCTTTTTATTTCCTCTTTCTTTCCTCCCTTCTTTCTTCCTTCTGTCCTTCCTTCCACATTCTTTTTTTGAAACATCATGTCACCCAGGCTGGAGTGCAGTGGTGCGATCTCAGCTCCCTGCAGCCTCCACCTGCCAGGTTCAAGCGACTCTCCTTCCTCAGCCTCCTGATTAGCTGGGACTATAGGCATGTGTCACCATGCCCAGCTAATTTTTTGTATTTTTAGTAGAGACAGGGTTTAGCCATGTTGGCCAGGCTGGTCTCAAACTCCTGACCTCAAGTGATTTACCCACCTTGGCCTCCCAAAGTGCTGAAATTACAGGCATGAGCCATAGTGCCTAGCTCCTTCCACCCCAATGGAGAGATTTCTATGGTACTTTTTGGTTAGTCTTCCCAACACAGTCTCTGCCATTAGCAGTTTGCTTTTAGCTGAGGCTGATAGGCCATTCATTTATTTTATAAAATCATTTCGTGTGAATAGTATTTTGTGGCTGTCTTTCAGAGATGACAGTGACTTAAGTGTCAGTGAGATTGTGACTGCTGCATTTACTTAGAGCTGGTCTCTTTTTGTTTTAGGGATAATGGGAAAGGAGCCTAGTCCCCAAAGAATTGTATCTAAATTTGTGAAGAAACTACCTAAATTGTTATGGTGGCACATGTGACTGATGGATCTTTTGGAATTGAATGCTTGGAATGTTTTAAATATATGATTATTAAAATTGTTCCTGGGTTCTTTCTTCTGCAGGATATGAGTATGTATTTAGTTGTAGAGAACCATGAATATGCTGACCTTTGTGCAAATGTGAAATACTTCTTTAGTGGTTCTTGTAAAAATTGGGTTCTATCAATACTGAGAATGTCAGCATTGTTATCTGATAAGAGCTACTACCCTATTTTAACCATTGCATAGTTTGGCATGATATGTATACACACATCCATATGTGGAATCATAGATTACACAATGCTGCATAAAAAATCAGGAGATTATTTCAGAGGCAGTAGGTTTATTTTTGGATAAGTATATCTTAAATTCAGTAAATTAAATATATAGTAAATGCCCATGATGTATAAGGAACTATGTTTGATGCTAGGTGGATTTAGAAATACCTGTAAGTTCTTATTTCTTATAGAATAAGGAACTGTGCGTAAAGACCCTGCAGCTTAGAACTGTTGAATTTAATAAGCTTTATACTAGGTTTTTGTCATTACTTTTAATGGTAAAAACTGTAGTGAGTTTTGCATCAACCCAATAGTAGTTCATATGAAAGACATCATCACAAGACAAAGAGATTAGAGAAAACTTTATACATAATGACTTGGGGCTGAGACTTAAAGAGGATTTGTAGAGGCGTAGAGGTGTAGGGGACAAAGTACCTAGTACAGGAAGAGTGAGACAGGATGGGAAGTTGTAGCATGTATTTGAGGGACCAGTTTAGCTATAGTATATGGGATGCATTTTAGAGAGTAGGGGAAGATAAGATTGGGGCTTGGACATATAGGACCATGAGTACCATCTTGAGAAAACTCTTAAGTTTGTGAAACAGGTGACTGGTCATTATTCATTTGGTAACCAATTAGGTATCAGTTGTGTGCCAGGCACCAATTAGGCAGAAAAGTAGAATGTGGGTAAGAATCACCAAGCAGCCGGGCACGGTGGCTCCCGTCTGTAATCCTAGCACTTTGAGAAGCCAAGGTGGGTGGATCACTTGAGGTCAGGAGTTCTAGACCAACCTGGCCAACGTGGTAAAACCCCTTCTCTACTGAAATTTCAAAAAAAAAAAAAAATGTGGTAGGCACCTGTAATCCCAGCTACTTGGGAGGCTGAGGCAGGAGAAGCAATTGAATCCGGGAGATGGAGATTGCAGTGAGCCAAGATCGCACTACTGTACTGCAGCCTGAGGAACAGAGTGAGAGTCCATGTGAAAAAAAAAAGAATCACAGGCCCTGGGGCAACTAAACTTACAAGTTTAAGCCCCAATTTACTACTTGTTGGCTTAATGACCTGTGTAAGTTTTTAAGTCTCTCTGACAGGTCTATGTCTGTGATGATAAATTTGTCAAATCATCAAGTCATTAATTTTTATTAAAATTTCTAATGCTAAGGTCCAAGAAATTTCTATAAGAACTTTGAGTTTTGGTTACTGATCATAAGAGATAGAGAACTATTTTATCATTAATATCCAAAATTTTAGTATTTAACATAGAAGTTTTTAGTTGAAACCTTTTAAAATGCAGGATTACTTTAGCTAATTTGACTTCTTTTGGATATTGTTGAATTTAATTTTAAGTAATTTAAAATTAAAATGAAGGCTGGGCACGGTGGCTTACACCTGTAATCCCAGCACTTTGGGAGGCTGAGGCAGGCAGATCACCTGAGGTCAGTCAGGCGTTTGAGACCAGCCTGACCAACATGGTGAAACCCCAGCTCTACTAAAAATACAAAAATATCAGGTAGGCGGGAATGGTGGCTCCTGCCTGTAGTCGCAGTTACTTGGGAGGCTGAGACACGAGGCTCGCTTGAACCTGGGAGGTGGAAGTTGTAGTGAGTCGAGATCGCACCTCTGCACTCCAGCCTGGGTGACAGAGTGAGACTCCGTCTCAAAAAAAAAAAAAAAAAAGAAAAAAGAAAAGAAAATAAATGTAAATCAAATTAGACTATACATTTCAAATTTAAATTTAAATAAATTGAAAATTAAAATCCAAATGCACCTTAAAAATCACAGTCCAAACAATCTTGTACCCATCTCTTCAGCTGAAGAAGGGAATTGAGGCAATGGGGTTTCTATGTTTGGGTAGATGTTTATTTGTTGTCACTACTGATGTTTTAATCAGAAAAGAAGTTTAGAAATGCATACTGAGTAGTCAGAATTATAGCTTCCACAGTCTGTAATAGACAGATTGGGATAGATCTCTGATTTGTCTTTGAGAATAGACTTTTAACAAAGTAATAAGAGTTAAGTCACAAGTATAACCTCACAGGAGTTCATATCAGTGCAGCAAAAGTGTGGCTATTAAGTAGTTTCTCTGCACACTCTACTTTTTGTTTAAAGACATTTCTGTGGGTCTGATCAATGGCATTTAGTGGTATTAAATATTTGTATGCCCCACAACCACCCTCTAGAACCTTACATATTTATTACTATAAACTCATTTTTGAGCTCTCATACTGTTGAATAGTTTAGTTATATATTCAAACTGCATGGCAAGACTGGCAGTGGAGAGTATAGGAAATGAGGTTTGGCTTGAGGAGAAGGGAGTAGGCAAGTCCGGGTGCTGTGCCTTGTTCTTTAGAATTGAGATCCCTTTCATTGCTTTCCTCATATGACCATTGCTTTGCTATGACTGTGTAAAATTATGATACGATGTATGGGTTACGAGGTGTTCACTTCAGATGTTACGCACTGAGCTCTAATTAACTTGAGAGAAGCCAGATTCATTTTTATGCAGAGACTTTTAGTATAGTAGATTTGGAGCTAGAAGACCTAGGCTTGAACCTTGGCTCTTTCTCTTATTATTTGTGTCATACTGAGAAAGAAATGTAGGTTTTCTTGATCTATTTTCTTATTAGTCAAGAGGGAATAGTAATTTCTATTATAGCTTGTTGCAAGGTTGTTGCAATAAAGCTTAAATGAGATGCCAAGAAAGCATTTTATAAAATTCTGAGGAGCTATTTAAATGCCCAGTGTCCTTGGTACAGTCTTAAGTGTCATTTGGAGCAACTGCAACACTAAGGCACAAATTTTTAAGTTGTAAGCTCTGTGAGTACAAGACTTTGTCTATTTTGTACTACTGTATCTGCAGCATCTCATAGAATGGTATTTATTTATTTATATCTAAGTTTCAAAACTTTAAAATGTTTTTCTGCTCCTTACCCACTTTCCTTAGAAGTTTGATGGTTCTTTTTCAACTTAAAAAAAAAAAAAAAAAGGTGGCCGGGCGCGGTGGCTCAAGCCTGTAATCCCAGCCCTTTGGGAGGCTGAGGCGGGTGGATCCCGAGGTCAAGAGATCAAGACCATCCTGGTCAACATGGTGAAACCCCATCTCTACTAAAAAAATACAAAAAAAAAAAAAAAAATTAGCTGGGCATGGTGGCGCGTGCCTGTAATCCCAGCTACTCAGGAGGCTGAGGCAGGAGAATTGCCTGAACCCAGTAGGCGGAGGTTGCGGTGAGCCAAGATCGCGCCATTGCACTCCAGCCTGGGTAACGAGCAAAACTCCGTCTCAAAAAAAAAAAGGTATAAACAGAGCATAGCACCCTGTCCTGTCCTGTAGTTGGATAGATAAGCTAACTCTTTGTGGGCTGGTTCCTAAAAGTAAAGAGAGAGGGAGGTTACAATGAAATTCTCTTTTAGTTGTATTTCTGCCACATATAAAAAGAAACAAGATAATAGATGGGACCCTGAAAAGAAAAATGGGTTTCAGTAAAACTTGGACAGATAGGGAGGAATTTAGGAATAGCAGTGGAATGGAGAAGCCAGAATAGGAGTTCGGGTTGGGTCCAGGGAAAGATGATCTAGACCATGAAAGAGGTCTTGCTACTGAGACATTCAGTCACAGCAAGGTAGGGCACACTAAGCTTGTACATGAAAATTCAGACTGCTTTAAAATATAGTGCCCTGTTTATATTTTTATGTATGTAAATCAGCATTCCTGTGGTGATAGATAAGATTATATTTTCAGATAGTATCCCTATAATTCTTTTTAGTAGATTAAATATACCTTTCAAATTAGTTTTCCTGATAGTGAATTATTTGATTCATCCAGGCTCTGTTACACATAAGCTGTGAGACATTGGGCAAGTTACCCAACTTATTTGACTCTTTTTTTTTCTAAGCTGTAAAGAAGAATAATACTTACCTTGCAGAGTTGTTGTTAGGATGCAAAATAATGCATGTGAAGTACCTAGTGCAGCACCAAGTGCACAGTAGGGATTCAGTTAATGGTGGGTATTTTTATTTTTTGATCTGGGCTTATTGTATAATTATTTGTGTATAATTTGACAGTAAGTACCATTGATATGATATGAATATTACAAATGTTGCTGGTCTTGTGGATTTCAGTGTTTGTTTTTAGACTAAATATATATTATGTTTTCCTTTTATAGATTTCTGAGAGAGCAGACACCATCTTATTTCTTTTGAAATATATTTAGTAACTCAAAAGGCTTCATTTAAAAGGTAATTTCAAATTTTAAAAGGGCCATTTACTCTTTAATTTTATTTGGATTATATTTGTATACTTGACATAATTAATGGTTCTCTTACACTAAATTTGATTCATTCAGAGTATAAGACAACCCTATTATATCATATTCACTCTGTATTGAGGTTTTCTTTTTCTTTTTTTTTTTTAAAAGTCTTTGGTAATACAGTTGATTTTCCAATCTTGATGAGCACTACTATGCTATATGCTATGGACACAGTGAATAATTACATTAGTCTAATAAGTATGCTATATGATATGGACAATGTGAATAATTTGTTTCTTTAGAAATATTTAAATTTTTTTTACCAAATGATTTTAAATATATTTTGTATAAAAGCAAAATAGCAGGTTGCATTTGGAATCATCTCAGTGGGGAGTTTGTTTCGGAGTAGGAAGGAGGTAAGCTGGAAATAAGTTGTGTGCAATGATGAATTTTTATACTACTTTTAGGCAACCTTGGCATTTACTTAAACATTAGTTCAACAGACTTTCTAGATCTCTATTTTGTATTTAAGATAGTACTAGTAGCAAATAGAGCTTGAAGTGGAATATGAATAATTTTGACTTTTGAGATAGGAGGAATAAATTGTTTCATTTTCTGAGGGCACACTTGGTACCAGAATCTTTTAGTGACCACAAAATGAAGGTAAACATAATTGGGGTAAAAAAAAAAAACCAGGCTTAAATTCTTTTACTCTCATGATGTTTGCAAGTGAGCATGCTAGGTTTTAGAGACACACAGAGAAACTACTGTGACTTCACAGAAGAAACTGTGAAGGTTTCTTCCTGTAGCTTTATCTTAGTCCAAATATAACATTACTTGATGAATTCTCAGTAAATGTACAGAAGTAGTCATGTGTGACCAGACTTTAACGTCTGCTTAGAACTAGTGCTTTCTTATCGTTTGGAAGAAAAAGTTACTTTAAACCATTTAACATTTGGGAATGACTATAATTATGACAGGATGAACTTTATTTTCACTAGAAGATAGAATAGGGTAGTGAAAAGAGCACTGGAATGAAAATCAGGAACTTAGGATCTCTGCTTGCCCTTTTCTTCAGTATCGGCTGTGGGACCTTAAACAACTTATTTAATCTCTGAGTTTTAGATACTTTTTGTATAAAATGAGAGAGTTAGAATTAAATATCAAGGTCCCTTCCACCTAAGGGAAGGACGATTTGTAATAAAACAAATAGTATTAAGGAGGACACCCAAGACTGTTTGCTTAGAATCATCCAGTTGAGCAAGAAATTAAAAAAGAATATATATAATATATATATATGGATAATATATAAAATCTTGTTCAATCATCCACTTGAGCAAGAAAGTAAAAAAGAATATATATGTATATATATACCCACATATGTATATTCATATATTCATTAATATATATATGTGGGTGTATATATACGTATATATTTTAAAATTTATATATAGTGTGTATATATATAAAAAGAATATATATAGTGCGTATATACATATATATTCTTTTTTAATTATATATATATATATATATATAGTCACTCAGCAATAGTATGGGATCCAGAGACAGAAGATGGAGTTGAAACCTGGTTTAATCATTACTGGCTATGTGGCCTTAGGCAAGTAACCCTGATTTTCAATTTTCTTATCTTTAATAGGGATTATTACCTACCTGTGTCAGAGACTGCGAAATACACTCCAGTAGCCATTCTGCTTTTCTTCTTTTCAGAAATAAAATTTCTAGTCCTGTCTGAAGTTTAAGCTAGCCCGTGACTACCCAAGTGCAACTGTATTTTCCAGGTAGATGCTGGTAGATTGGGCTTAATAAGTTTGGGCCATTGAGATGTGAAAGGAAGAGATGTGGGCAACTTTTTGGGTCATCTTATTAAAGAAAAAGCCATTTGTCCTGGATGTCCTCTTTTCTTTCTTTGGCTGGGAAATGACGAGAATTAAAGCAGCAGCCTTGGAGCCAGAGATGGAGGCCAAATGATGAAGACGGCAGAACTGACTGGCTTGTCTGGGTTCGCTGGAGCAGAGTCTCTCCCCACCCTAGGTTATCCACTTACTCTTGCACTGTTATGTGAGAGAGAAATAAATTTCTATCTTATTTAAGCCCTTGGGTTTTTTTTGTATTTATTTGTTACAGCTGATTAGCCTATCTAGTGGCCTAAACAAAACACTACCTTAAAGAGTTGCGAATACTAGAGATTATAAATTGCCCAGTTTAACAGGTGGCACATTAAACATCACTCTATCAGTGTTATCTACCATTTGTTAAATATTTACTTTCCATCACTGTGGGTGTGGTGCAATGCCAAATGTAATGATCATCAAAATAGTCTCTATTATCAGCATTTACACATTTGTTTCCTAAAATTCCATCATATCAGCTCTTCTTACCAGGCTTTAATAGACCCCATGTGTTCAGGTTCCCTTAATTTCCTTTTTGCTTCCTTTGTTCCTTTTTATTCCTTTGTGATACAAGAAAGCATGGTAGCATCACCACATTTTATAGGAATGGGGAGATCAAGTTGAAGGTTAAGTGGCTTGTGTAAGGAGTGAAAGAGACAAGGCTTTCAAGTGTAGCTTAGAAAACAGGAGTTTGCTATTTTTATGGGAAAAAATAATGTCTAATTTAGCAGACTCTCTGAATTAAACTTTTTATGCTTGATTGTACACTTAAGTATTAAATCTTTCAAGTATTATCTGTATCAGTACTGACTGATCTGCCTTTAGTTATATAATAGATAGCTGATCCAGCCTTTCCTTTTAGAAAATCCTTGATGTATTAGACCGTTAGAATAAATTCTAACATTTGGTGTTCATTAGTGTTGTAACCAAAACAAAAACATTTTAATGGTTAATCCCAGAGTATTTTGAAGTTATTATAATTTTGCTGGAAAGGTATTTAAGCTTTAGTATCAATTACAAATAGGCCATGATCCAATTTTCAAAGCTGTTTCTAAGTGAGACACTGAGTTTTTCTGAATGCAAAAAAATGCATTATGCAGCATTGTGCCGTGTGACAAGGAAACAGAATGGAACAATTACAATGAGATTTGTATTGATATCTGTACTTCTGTGTGAGTAGTATAAGATACTGTGAAGCAAAGTGAGGTTTGGAGTAACCCCCCAGCGTCTTCAACAATTGCTTCAATTTAGTTGTAGACCATGAAGAGGTATTTTCAATATAAAAAAGGATAGAAATTGCTGGGCAACAATTAAAACTTCAAATTCAACAGTTAGGGTTTAGCCAATTTACTTTAATAAAATGGAATGCTTTAACTTTTTGACTCTAAATTTCAGGAAAATTGCTAATTGTCATTTATTAAAGTAAAATGACTTTTTGTTATGTGGTGTTAAAAAGGTCAAATCTCCACTTAACATACTAGGTTGGTGCAAACGTAATTGTGTTTTTTGCCATTGCTAGATTGGCAGTGCTAAAGAGTTTAGAAAAAATGATTTTTCTTCTAAAGAATATTTAAATTAATTTGCTTTGCTCTTGGTAAATGCTGAAGAAGGACACAGTGAAGTATTGTAAGTGCTTTCAAAATGGGTTCTTCAGTTCATTTGTCACCCTAAAGCAAAAAAAGGAGTGGAAGACAATAATTAGATGGATAGTAAATATAATCTAATGATTTATATGTTGTTTTGACATTTAACCGTAGATACGGTTGCTTTAAAGGACTCTTAAAAAAACTTAGCATATTTTTTATTCAAAGTTGTTTTGACTTAGGTGCTTTTTCCATGTAAGAGACAAAAGTTTCACAAATATTAGATCTGTTTCAGCAGGTGCTTTGGAAACACTGTGTAGATTTGCAATGCAGTTTACATTAGCACAATAAGTATTTCTTAATCCTGTGCTTGATGAGTGTCTGCATATTTGAACAATATGTTTAGGTCATTTTGAATTATTTTTATTATGATTGTGAACTGATTTGTTTACGTGTAGGTATTGTGTGTTTTGGCTCTATCTGTACTTCAGCAAGACAGTTTAATTAATATCACCTCTATCACAAGACAATTTACTTTTTCCCCCCTCTATGATAACTTTTTGGGTAGAAATTTGTTTGGGAGTTTAATTTTTGGAAATATTTTAATCACTTGACATACTTTAATATTCAAAATAATTCACAGTGAATCTGGATTTTTTAGCAACTAGTTAATGTCCTTGGCAAACATTTTTGTTTTGATGAAGTTCATTTTATCAGTTGTTCTTGCAAGGCTTGTGCTTTTTGTATGCTAAAAAAATCTTTGACCAGCTTAAGGTCTTGAAGGTTTCTTTCTAGATTTTCTTCTGGAAATTTGATAGTTTTCATCTTTTTCATTTATGTCTATATGGATTATAGAATCCATTTTGAGTTAATTTTTATGTATGTTGACTATGGATTTCATCTGTGTTTTGAAAATGTTTGTACAGAAAGACAACTTTAGGGACAGTGTGGAGGTTCCAATGAAAAGTGTGAAAAGACAGGGAATATGAGTTGATAATGACTAGAATTAGGATAGCAGTTCTGCATATCAAAACAGCAGGGAAGAGGAGAGTTTGATGGCATTTTAGAGACAGAATGCATTGGATGGGGAGAGAGCATGGAGGTGGAAGTAAAGATGAGTCTAAGGCTTATGGTTTCCCCAGAAGTGGAATACAGGACAAAGGGAGTTTTCTTATTCTCCACTGTGTTGGATGGAGCTCTGGTTTCAAACTCGTGAGTTTCTGTGATAGCAGGACTTTCAGTCCTTGTCCACATGTGTACATGTTGAGGAAGAGGCAGATTCTTAGTGAAAACATGTTTTCTTTAATTCACTGTAACTAACTTTTTATGTTATTACAAAGTTTCCATTGTGTTAATTTTTGTAGCTCCTCAACAGTATTTATACAGTGAAACTATTATATCTACTATATAAAATAATGATTAAAAAAAGCCACTAAAGTGGTTTCTGCTATATTTCCCTCCAAGTTTCCAATACAACTTGACCACTAATGAGGATG